GGTTTGTACTTGAGTCCTGGTTTATTTAGGATTCTTTCTAGCTGCTTGTGGTTAAAGTTGGACACCCCAATGGACCTGACCAATCCTGCATCCTTACACTTCTCCAATGCCTGGTGATGTGAAAGAGGTTATGAAGGGTCATACTTACAATTGACTACATCAATATAAACAGAATTATGGAACCATTACAGGAAAAAACAATTCTAGATCTAGACACATAGTAGAACACTTGCCAGTGTGTACAGGAGCCTAAATTTGATCACAGGCATTAAAAAAGGTGGGAAAGGGTGTTTTTGCCTAAATGATCACTGGATTTAAATAAAGCAGTCAAGATGATGATGATAAGAAAGAGAAAGATGCCAGCCAAAGAGAAATCTCTGTAACATTGCTAGAAAAATAGAGGATATTACTACATAAGATGGCAAAATATTCATATGCCTCCTGTGTTAAGTCCTTCTTCATTTCCTTCCCTTACATTTTAGTAATACATTTCTCCCCTTCCACTCCATCTAATATGGATGTATGCAAATTAATTTCTATACCCAAGGGAAAATGAGCTGATTCTCCCTCTCTTTGCTTGCTTTATTGTCCTTTTGAAAAATACTCACCTCCCATGTGTCACAGAAATCCACTGAGTCCAATAGAAGTTTTCCTTCGTTATCTGATGGAAAATCATCATCCCCTGCCTGGAAGGCAAGCAGTTGTTACAATCTCACAGAAACATGGATTTTGCCTATAATAATGTTTCTAAGACTACCTTGGAGGAGCTGGAGATATTGTTCAGTGATTAAACTCTGGCTGCTCTCTCAGAGTACTTGGGTTTAATTCTCAGAATCTATATAGTGGGTCACAACTACCTGTAATTCCAGTCCCATGGTTCCTAATAACCACTTCTGGCCTCCACAAGCACCCGGCATGCACCGAGTGCACAGACATACACACAAGCAAAACACCCATACACATTAAACAAAAAATATAGCTGTAAAAGAATATCTTGGAAATAAGACAGCAGCCATTAAGTGATGAGGCATCATTCTGTATACTGTATTTACAAAGTGATATGCATGTAGAGTTGTAAAAATTATCTTTTGCACACTAGTTTGCTGTATTCTCACATATTAACTATATAAATAATTAAAGAGCTTCTTTTTATAATAACTGTTCTTCCTGAAATTATAATTAATCATATCATTTCCCGTCTTCTTTCTCCTACCTCCAGTTTCTCCCATGCGTGCCCTTGCTGTCCCTAAAATTCATGGTCTCTCTTTCCTTAATTGTTACACACACACACACACACACACACACACACACACACAAATACATAATTCCTATACTTAAAAGATATTTTCGAGCACTAAATGAGACTTTCTAGTGGACTTACATTCTTTTGTATACTCTTTATTGTAGGAAAAAGGAAATGCTTCATGTTCATTGGGATACCCAGTCATTTCATGGCCTTTACCTCCAGGAAAAATTATATCAGTCCTCACCGAGAATAAATAATGAATATGAATACATGTTAGCCTAAGAGCAGGCATGTGAGCCAATGATGGACAGTCAGGACTGTACAGGATTAATTTTGGCAGGAAAAGTTTCAAAGAAGCAATAAAGCATTAATGACATTGAAGCTGAAACTGTCTTGAATCACTTTTGCTTCCAGGAGATAAAACAAGACAAGACTGCAAACATCTAGCAGTACAAATGTAAAAGATGTGTAAATACAAGATTTTCTGGAGGTTAGTTTTAATCTGTGATTCTGAATGTTGCTTGGACACCTCATTTTGTACTCCCTTAAACTCTTTGTGTAACCCTCTCAGAAGTTTAGTAACATATAAATTATATAAAATTATAATAGAAACTTATCTCAACCATCCATAAAAATGATACCCATGCCCCCATGCAAAGATATATACATTTGACAATACAAATCACTTACCTTCATTGGCACTGGGTAATGCATAATGTAAAGGTCAACATAGTCCAGTTGAAGGTTTTTCAGTGATCTTTCTAAAGCAGGTCGGACCAGCTCTGGTCGAAAGCAAGTGCACCAAAGCTACAGGGGTTGAAGAATGGAAGTTGTGCTGGATTAATGGAATATCCAAATATGCATATTCATTTATCCTAATCCTGAGATATTTTTTTTAAATTTGAAGGAAAGTAATAGTCATTCCTTTTAACCCAGGATTTATTTTAATCTTACTTAAGAAAGTGAACTCAGCTATAGTTTGATTTTTTTGTTCGTTTGTTTTTTGGTTATTTTTGGCTCATTTATTGAACAATGAAAAAATTAATCAAGAAATAAAATACATACTAATAATAACTTCCAAGAAGTAAGTTATCTTTATATAGATTTTAATCTTCCCTTACTTTCCTTTACCTAGTTGTACAACTGATACTTTTAATCAGCTTCTCATCCAGTAATATAATTTTCACTTCCTTATGTTATTTTTTACATAACCTGCACACTTGCATACCATAAAAATTATACCTTTGTAGTGATGAACATGTCTTCTCTCTTTATAACGCCAGCTTTAATCTTGCTTTGAATGGCCTGTCCTATCTCCTCTTCTACTTGGTAGGCAAAAGCAGTATCAATATGGTGGAAGCCAGCATCTATAGCTAGATTTGCAGCCTCCAGTGACTTACTCTTGGGAACCTAGAGAGGGAATCAAAGGAAGTATTTAGAGATACATGTCCTGAGAGATAGCTCAGAGTGAGCCTAGCAGAAAGTTTACTAGACAAGAAAATAATTTTCTGTTTCAAAGTCATGTTCAGACCACTTGTTA